CCAGGGTCCCATGCAAAGTCTGTGGAAGAGAGAGAAACAGGATCCTGATCTGACTAGCAACACTGACCTACACATGGGAATTGGATAATAGATATTACTGTGAAATAAATTACACCACGGTATTTATTCTGGATAGCTCGCTCGCTCTGTGTGTGTGTGTGTGTGTGTGTGTGTGTGTGTGTGTGTGTGTGTGTGTGTGTGTGTGTGTGTGTGTACACTTCCCAAAACAAAAGTCACCCCTCAAAAGTCCCTTTATTCTGGAATTATCATTGTATCCAGCACTGACACGAAAAAGGGTCATTGGGAAACTTTTCTTGAACAGCTTTGACAGAATCTTTTATTCCAGGACAACGACTCCAGTCGGCTCTGGAGGTGCAGGTCTGTCCCCTACTAACCAGCCCTCCTGTCTGCAGGAGAAAACAAAATGCAAGATGTAAAAAAAAATTGGTTGCAAGTTTTTAAATGTTCAGGCTTCCAGCACCTTAGGGAGAGAAGGGCTGATCCTACGCCCTTCAAGTCCTTGTTAAAAATGACATACTTTCCCTTATGCAGAATTGGGCCCTATACAGGCAGGCAGGAAGTCAGCATGATTATCTGAATCAAATAGAAAATCCAGGGCACTGGGCTGCTGACCCTGGACAGGACTTCCACTTTACTTAGTCAGTCCTGTTAAATAATCTATGTCCTCACTTAGCATCTGCAGATACGGGGGGAGGCGCACGCGCACACACACACATTTTAACGGAAAAGTGCTTTGTACATTAATAAGGCTGGGTGTTCCTGGAGAAGTGATTTGTTTCCCTTTTTGGAAAGTGAAAGCACTGATTTTTTTAATCCTTTGGATCACAGAATCAGGGACAATGAGGGTGGGAAGGGAGGTCACATCTAGTCCAACCCCCTGCTCAAAGCAGGACCAGCCCCAACTCCATCATCCCAGCCAAGTCTGCTAATCAAATACCTTCTATAACTCCGAATCTAGCAAATGTCTTATTATTCCCGTGGAACGATCCTCTCCATGCACACATAAATGTTAGGGAGTGAAAAAAATACCCCAAGGTTTGACCTGCCTGGGAACTATCCCTGGCTGTTTCACGCCTCCTCTGCGGGTGCCAGCAGTGTCTTACGACTACCAAGTTCGCTCGCCGTTTCTGGGTGGGGGAGCAGGTAGCCCACAGAGCACAACTCCATCTGCGGCGTCTTTTTGGACTCTGCAGCCAGATTAGCAGCACCGCCGAGTGTGACGTTCGCTCCTTGGTTTCCACAGAGTGTTAACATAGAAGCCTAAATATTGTCCTTACACGTAAATGCTGGCGCTGTTAACCATTGCACTGCCATTCACCCAGAGACGCCGGATGGGCCTGCACAGATGCTGAAAGGGAAGCTATGCGGGAGTCCTTTGCAGAGCCAGCGGGTCATTTATGGCTTTATTTGTCAGATCTCTCCCAACTTTCCCAGAGCACCGCAAATTTGAAGGCATGTGCGGATGGATCCAGTATAAGTTTAAAAGCAAATCCCAGGACCAGGGTAATAAATCTACCGTAATTATTTTAAGGGGATGATAGAGGGACCTTGGGGCTGAGACTGCCTTTCAGAAACAGCCTGCGCTAAGGAAAGGAGGCCCCTGGAGAGAAGCCGGTGTGCCCTGAGGCCTGTGAAAAATAAACGTGCTGGGGCAATGGCAGCAGCCCAGAGCCTCATTGAGCAGGGGCAGTTCATCTTCCTCTTTTACTGTTGCAAAGCATCTGGGCTGGGCTTTGCATCTCTTTGCTGCCAGGCAGCTTGATGTAAATCAAAGCCAAGCACCTTGAGAAAGAGCTGCTGTTGGGGGAGGCAGATGGGTCAGGGTTACTTTTAGGTCAGTGGGTGACCAGCAGTGCTTAGGCAGTGCTGCCAGGGGAAGCAGGGCTAGTGCCCAGGGCTCCCCTCCAGCTGCTGCAGGGGCATGAACCCAGCTGGGACGAGCAAATGTCCCCCCAGGGCAGCAGGACGAGCCTCACCTGATCAGGCAATGCTGCCCCAATTCGGCACCAAGCCCTGGCTGCCGGCTGGGAAGGGCACAGGGGCCTTGCCCCAAGGATGCAGGGGAAGATGCTCTCCAGCGCCAGCAGCAACTGGGCTTGATCGAAGGTGGTTTGGGCGCCAGGCAGAGATGGGGAGCTGGTTTTCATTGCAACAGGGCCAGTGCTGTCCGCAGCCTGGCCAGAGCCCCCAGGCAGGGAGAGGGGGTTTGGGACCTGCCCCAGCTGCTTGGCACCCCCACAGCTTCTGAGTCATCCCTTGTCTGCAAGACACTGTCCTCTGTGTGTGCGTGTGTGTGTGCGTGTGTGTGGGCCTGATACCCTGGGGGAGCTAGGTGTGTGCATGTGTGCCTGCTTCACTGGGGAAGTAGGTGTGTGTGCATGTGCATGATATGCTGGGGGAGCTAGGTGTGCATGCATATGCCTGATACACCGGGGGGAGTTAGGTGTGTGCACATGCGTGTGCTTGATACACTGGGGGAGCTAGGTGTGTGTGCGCGCATGTGCCTGACACACTGGGGAAGTTAGGTGTGTGTGCATATATGTGTGTGTGCACGCATATGCATGTGCCTGATACAGTGGGGGAACTAGGTGTGTGTGCATATGCCTGATAAACCAGGGGAGCTAGGTGTGTGTGCGTGCATGTGCCTGATACACCGGGGAAGTTAGGTGTGTGTGCATATATGTGTGTGTGCACGCATATGCATGTGCCTGATACAGTGGGGGAGCTAGGTGTGTGTGCGTGCATGTGCCTGATACACCGGGGAAGTTAGGTGTGTGTGCATATATGTGTGTGTGCACGCATATGCATGTGCCTGATACAGTGGGGGAGCTAGGTGTGTGTGCATATGCCTGATAAACCAGGGGAGTTAGGTGTGTGTGCATGTATGTGTGTGCCTGATTCACTGAGGGAGCTAGGTGTGTATGTGCGTGTGTGCGTGTCTGGTACACTGTGGGAGCTAGGTGTGCATACATATGCCTGATACACTGGGGAAGATAGGCGTGCACACATATATGTGTGCGCGTGCACATGCATGTACCCGATACACTGGGGGAGCTAGGTGTGCATGTATGTGTGTGTCTGATACACTGGGGGAGCTAGGGTGCGTGAGCGTGTGTCCCCGACGTGCCCCGAAAGCCGCCGGCCTGAGATGAAGCGCAGGTGCGGGGAGGCTCGGACAAGCCCTTCGGGACATGAGTGCCTTCAAGGGGGGGCTGCACCCCGCAGCACGAGGGCACGGCCTGGTTTCCCCCCGCCACAACCACCCCCGCGGGCCGGGCCGGGCCAAGTGTCCCCAGGGAGAGGAGAGGCGCGGACGGGCCGGGGGCACTTGAAGCCTCTTTTCTTCCGGGCGGAGCAGGGAAGGGCCCAGGCATCGCAGCGGAAAGGCGCTGGGTGCAAGCGCGGCTCCTCCGGCCCGCGGGAGGCTTTGGGGGGGCTGGTGTCCCCCCTTCCCACAGCGGGCGGGGAGCGAAGCCCCGCCACGGCCCGGTGCAGCAGCCCCGGCTCCTCGGGGCTGGGCGGATAGGAAACAACCCCGAAGTTGTAAACTTTGAACCTTGCCGGGGTGCCCCCCACCCCCGCGAGCGCGACAGAAGCGACGTATGCCACAAGGTGAGGTTTCGAGACTTTTTAATGCCATGAAATACAAAGCGGGATCGCACTAGGGGGAAGGCTGGGACCCAGGAGAAATATCCCCGAGACAAAAGAAGTCCAATAAAAATCCTAGTTCAAACTCGAGGGAAGGGCGACGTGATTTATTGCCGGCAACTCTGCATTTTTAATACGGGCTCATGAAGGGGGGCCGGCGGCTCGCCCGCTACTTCGCATCAACCCTTGGGGGACAAGCGGGTCCAAAGCGAGGGCCGGCCCCAGCCCCGGCCCCTGCTCCCCGGGGAGCAGGATCTCCGCCGGCTCGGGCTGCAACAAGCGGCTGGGCCGAGCAGGGCAGGAACAAGGAGCTGGAGGGCCCGATGCCCCCGTCGGGGCCAGGGCGGAGGCGAGTTTCCCCCGCACGAGCACCTCTCTCCACGCAGCAGCAAAAAAGTTGCCGAGAAGTGTGTGTGTGTGGGGGGGGATTAAAAGAAAAAAAAAAAAAAAAACACAACAAAACACAAAAATTGCTCCGTCTGTCCCCAAACCAGACCCCCGCAGCCCCCTCCGGAGAGGCGGCGGCCGGTCTTTGTCTCCAGTCAACACAACATCCAGCTCCCGAGCAACACAATAAAACAACAGGACATTAAATAAAAATAAGACACCATCGAAGCGGATAAAACAAAACGAGACTGGGGCACGGACCCCCCCTCCGCCCCCGGCACAAACCGCCCGGAGACGCTGGGGGGGCCTCTTACAAAATGTATTGATCGCTCTCGCTTGGGGGTTGGGGGGAGAGGTCAGAAGAGAAAAAAAGTCTGTTCAGAAACCCGAAAACTAGAGGAAACGAAAGCTGATGTGTCCGAACCAAGCAATAAAAAATAAAAATGAAAAACAGGTTCGCAGCAAAAAAAAAAAAAAAAAAAAATCCACCAACCGATTTACAGAAGTTTTTTTTGTTTGTTTTTTGTTTTTTTGTTTTTTTTGTTTTTTTTTTACACAAGAAAGAGGAGGAGGAGGAGGAGGAGGGGGACACAAAGCCCAGGCGCACACAAAAACTTGCTATAAATAAAAAAAAAAAAAACAACCCCTTGGCGCTCGCGACCCGCACAGATCTCCCCGCCCGCCCGCCACAAAAGTCAACGTTATATATTTTTATATATATATAAAAAAACCCGCCAAAACAAACCTAAAAAACAGAAGAAGTTAAAAGGGGAAGCTACACAATTCGGGATCAACGCCCCCCTAGCCCAGCCAGCCCGCAGGAGACAACCAAGCCACGTGTAAACATCGGAGCTGGGGGGCGAGGGCGAGGCCCCCCCCCAGGGCACGGGCGTGTCTTGTTTTCGTTGAAAAATAAAATATGGGTGCGGGAGCCGACGCGGCGGCTGCGCCCCGCGCCCGTCGGGGCGGCTCAGATGTGAGTCAGCGGCACCGTGCCGTTCACCGCAGTCCCGGCGCCCTGGTAGTGCTGGTGCACGCTGTGCAACCTGCTGCCCTGCAGGCTGGAAGGGTCTGTGACGTCCCCCCCGGGCGGGAGATACATGCTGATCATATCCCGCAGGTCTCCGAGGCAGGCCCGCTGCGAGTGCGAGGCGAGCGCGGGCGGCGGCGAGCTGGGCTCGGACTTGACGGCCGAGCCCATGGCGCCCAGGCTCATGGCCGAGCCGGGCTGCTGGCCGTAGGCGGCGGGGGACATGCTGTAGGTGGAAGCAGCGTTCATGTAGGTCTGGGCCGTGGACATCATGGGGCTGTACTGCAGCGCGGGCACGTCGTAGCGGTGCATCTGCTGCAGCTGCGGGCTGCTCATGCCCGGGTGCTGGCTGTAGCCCAGCTGCTCGGGCATCAGCGAGTAGGCGCCGTTGCTCCAGCCGTTCATGTGCGCGTAGGTGTCCAGGCGCTGCCCCACGCCCACGGGGCTGCTCACGGCGCCGCCCGGCCCGGGGGCCAGCAGGTTGCCGGGCAGCGAGTACTTGTCCTTCTTGAGCAAGGTCTTGGTCTTCCTGCGGGGCCGGTATTTGTAATCCGGGTACTCCTTCATGTGCACGGCCCGCAGCCGCTTGGCCTCGTCGATGAAGGGCCGCTTCTCCGCGTCGCTCAGCAGCTTCCAGTCGGCGCCCAGGCGCTTGCTGATCTCCGAGTTGTGCATCTTGGGGTTCTCCTGGGCCATCTTGCGCCGCTGCCCGCGGGAC